GGTTTACTGAGCATTTCCTTGAATATCTTTACATCTCGGATTTTCTCTGATTATTACTAATAAGAATGATTTTGAAAGCTTAAAATAGATGATTGTACACAGGTGTACTGTATAGTGCAAATAGATCCTCATCTTAAAAGCCATGGGAGGTGCAATTTCAAGATCTGTATGACTAAACTGCAAGTGGTCTGAACAAGGTATCAAAAAACATCTGTTTTCAGCTTAATATCCAACACTGCTTTCCCTGCTCATATCCTTATCAACAGAGAGGGAAGGTTACACCTGGAAGGTTAAAGTGAAAACCTTCAGCTGTCTGACCAGTAAGGCTCTCAATGCTGAGGTATTTTTATAGCAGCACATAAAGAAGTGGATTATGTCAGCCGGCAAAGCTCAGCAAAGATTATAGGCAGCAGTCCAGGATCTTGGACAAGTCCATTAGTGTAACAAAAGACTCACTGGGGAGTCCCCTCACTGTAAACAAGAACCAGCCGATAAATCCAAACAATCTCTTGGAACAAAAACACCAGGTAGGATATGATTAGATCAGTTAATACGAAAAATGTATCCACATTTTAAGAATTTTTCAAAGTTTTCTTTTCTGTTGTTATTCATTTCCCTCAAACACTTTAAATACGCCAATACATTATCTTTTTAAAGAAAATTCATACCTATGTCCTGCAGTAGAAAGTGAAAAAATGAAATGTGGTCATTTTACTTATTCATAACTCTGCAGACTCATTTTATCCTGTAAACTGAGCAGCTTAACCAAAATGTTAACCCCATGATAATGACTAATGTAGTTGGAGATTACAGTAAGATGCTGAACAGAAGAACATGAAATATATCTTATGTCTTTACAAAAACTTTGTTCATGATTTGCTTCTATTGCACAACCACATATTTCCTGCTCCTTCCAAGTCTGTTCTACATCTTTCTGCAGTTGGCCTTTGCTGCTGTTATTAGAACTATCTGAGAAAGGAGTAAAGAAAACATTTCCTCCTGTGGATTTCCAGCATTTGTAACTGGTCACTGACCACCGTGACATTTCCTGTGCTGCAATGTACCAGTACCTCTCAACCACTAGATGACTCCCTGTATTGTAATTTGTACTAGATGCGGTAGTCAAGTGAAAAATGTAGATTTTTATTATTTTTTTTTTATTAAAGCCTTTTTCTTTTTCCATCATATTTTGTTTTTCTCATGTGGTTAAAACGTATTAAAAGTTCATATTTAAAGTTTAAAAGTTAATATTATAGATTAAAGTTTTATATTTTCTGTAAAATTAATTTTTCAGATCAACAATTTCTTGTTAAGAACAAGTTAGGGCAGTCCTCATTAAACGGCTTAAAGTCACACACAGATGTATTACAATCAGATGCACATGATTAGAACAGCCTTAGTCTCCATTTTGAAGGAGGCTTACCCTAATAAATTGCGATTTTATGTGATATCCATGCCCTTGCCTAGAAAATAGTATGCAAGTGTAAGACAGTAAAACAATGGCCAATATGTCAGGATTCATTTTCCAATATATTATACCCTGAAAGTACAAGAAAAATAAAATCACTTAAAACCTCTAAATTTCATGAAAAGAACTGCACATATGCACATCTGAAAGGAAACTGACTAAAACAAACATTTATTGCTGTGTGCAAGGAAGAAATATCTACTCTATACACTTTGAGGCCAGATTAAAGTTTATCAGAAAGAGCATAGATAAAGACAAGTAGGTTAGCAATTGTTTTATAGAAAAATAATCTAAAACTGAATTAGTTGGGCCCGCATCATGTTTGTTTTAAATCCAAAAAAATAGGAAATTTTGCGGGAAAAAAAAAAAAAACTCATACATACTATGAAGCATAGAGGTGGAGGTGTCATGATATGGGAATGTCTTGCTGCAGAATGACCTAGTCAGCAAGCAAATGTTTTCTTTACTCTGTTACATATAGCCCATCCTAAATTCTACTGATTATATGATAACACTTTAGTAAAAGAGGAGAACCTTTGTGTAAAAAAAGAAGAAAGAAAAAAAACAAAATATGTCAGTTAAATATATTATTAAAAACAAATCCTGGTGACCATAATATTATCTTGCCATTGAGATGTTTAAAGGTGTTTAAATAATGAAAGATTCTTTTTGGTATTACCACTCCTTTACCAGAGATGTGAAAAAGTGTGCAGAGCACTGGAATCTGTTGTGATCACATCAGGTCTATAAGGAGTCTTGTTTATTGATTTACTGGCACAGGGTAATAAAGCTTCTTGTGTAATTAAGATTAGAGCTGTTTTTACTGGTTCTGACACATACCAGACAACCACGCTGGGCTGAAAGTGACTGAACGGAGGAAAACAAGAGAGAGCTTGGAGAACAAAGCCTGGTTAATCTCATGTCTAGTACCTAAAGGCACAGTGGAAAAAGAAGACTGAAAATGCCAAAGAGAGATCATGAAGAGTCTGAAGTCGCAAAATGTGGATGTGATTACAAGGTGACAGACAGGGTGAAGATTGAAGAGGAGGTGGAAAGATCCGGTGGTCAGAGATCCTGGGATATGGGCGGAAATACGACTTCTGTACTTCCATTTGAAGCAGAAATCGAAAACCGATAATTACTCTATAAACTCTCAACAGAAATGACAGTTTAGTTTCAGGATGACAGACAAGTGAGTCAAATTCTTTTTTGTTTACTAATATTCTCTTCACAATGCACAGTGATATTGCACAATACACAAGAAGGTCTCCAGACACAATGGCATGGCCCAGACAGTATGCATTCCAGGCTTGTCTCTGTTTGTTTCAGAAGTGTGTAATACTCAACAGTCTAAGCATCCTTTTGATTTATTCAGGATGTCCTAAGAATTGAACTATTTCATTCTATCATATTCTGCAGAATCTGTGGTCAGTTTAAACAGGAAGAACGTCTGTAGCTCATCAATAGAGACACTGAACCATTGTTGCTCCAAAGATTTTAGTTTTTACTTTTGCCATCATCCATTTACAGTGGCTTGTACTAGTATTAATAAACTTGATCCCGTTTACATTTTATTTAATTCCCAACACAAACCTCAATGTTTTTACTGTGATGTGTTTGTGATTTACAGACACAAAAACTTGAATTAAAGGGATTGGATAATTTTTCAAGTTTCATATTTTTACAACAAAAATCTCAAAATTTGACATGCATTTGTCCATATTTCTTTTTCTTCAACATTAAATTATTTATCACAATTTTAAAAAAATCTTTTTGTTCTGTTATTTGTATTTATAAAGAGCTTAAAAGGGCAATCATTAGTTTTTCCATAAGTTTTCCTGAAACTCTTTTGTCACATTTCCAGAGCAAAACAGCGATGAAATTGTAATTAGTACTTTTTTCTTTTGTTACGTTTCCCTAATCTTAATCTTTTGAATCTGGTGCTTTTTCAACTATATAAATGTAAATTGGTTATTTACAATAAAAATTACTAAATCTTGGCTCTGTGTTTTGAAGATGTTACCTTGAAGTAATATGAAGTCTGGGGTTCCTCCTTATACCATACAGCTGTTGTTTCATGGTGCAGAAATAAGCACTTAACAAGCTCTCAAAATATAGCAGATATTCAACAATAAATGCTTTGTAAACACATAAAAGCATACTACTTCTTATTACACTTGAGTTATAACTTTGAAGAGTTCATTAGAGTGGTATGAATAGATACACATGAATTAGGCTTACTGTGTCTATCATAAAAAACATCACAGATTAAATAATAAGTGTAGCAAATGTTGAGCGATTATATTGTAAAAATGCCATATTTTAGTTTTATGAACCAAACTGTGAGTCACTTCACACATTTTTATTTTCTTTACTGCAATAGACTGAGACAAGTGCAACTTTCAAAGCAGCTTGGCTGCAGCCAATCACTCTGCTGCCGACTGTGATTTCATTTCACTGCGAAATGGAGGAAACATCCATCAGCAAGTGTTACCTAAAAATCTAAATCTACAATCAACCAATGTATTGCAATACATTTATTGTATTGCAATAAATGTGTGGGTAGTTTATAAAGACTATAAAGAAACAACTAACAACGAAGAGTATATTAAGCTGTACTGAACGAAATTTCTTTTTGTATACATTCTGTGTGTACAAAATGATAATAAAGTCTGTCAAAGTCTATATTATTCAGTTTTACTTGTATTTTGTTTGTCACTTCCGTCATTAGATTTGGCCACACACCTACTCTCAGTGGAAAACCACAAATAATCTGAATCCTAAGCTAGAAACAAGCGGAACTGGTACCAAAACACAAAAGCGTCTTTGTTAAAGATTTAGAGAGATTTATATAGCTTACTTTGGCCTGTTCCAAGAATCTCTGTGTGTTTGCATTTATGAACTTTGTGACTCTGTTTTCTTGTTTCAGTAGACTTCTGCTGTGTCTGAACAAGCTCACACCTCAGCCAAGCCTTAGGCCTGCCAGTTATTTGTTCTTACATTCATCCATGTGTGAATCTGTCACACTACTGCTAATGTGCACAAGTTCACTGATGCATCAAAGTGGATTTTGCTCAAAACATCTGCAGAACTGTAGAAATAGTTGGCAATAAGCTGACGCTAGTTAAGTCAGCATGTCGTCAAACTTGTACTGAAACTGACCTGCAACCAGCAAGCCTGCACACAATGGTAGATGTGCATAAGATTATTATACTTCTTAGAAATGGTTTTAAAATAACATTAGAAAAAGGTGAATAAAGAGGTTTGGTCATTTTATTAGTTCAGGTTTTACTGAAGTTATTGCTATTACCGTATATGTGCCCTACATATAGGGCAGTTTATATGAATTCTTCTGAGGTAATTTTTAACCAGCTTAAATGCCAAATGTGACTGGCTAATCAAATGACCCTGAACTGAACAGTTTCACCTTGGTGCATAAGTAGAAAGCTGGAGTAAAACTGTGTGCTTGTGTGTAACTTATTAGCAGTTGCTGGAGCAACAGGAGCTGTGAGCCGCAAACTTTCTTGAGGTGAACTTGTCCTCTCTGAAGGGCTCCGCATCACAGCTCTGATGGATGACTCGACTTTCAAAAGCTACTATTCGCCTAACTATCATTAAAATGTCTGCGTAAAATGCTTCTAAAGCACAAATAGAGGCTGAATTTTCAAAAAAAGGAACATAATATGGGTAACTCAGGGAGTGTGTGGTGGACTGTAGTGGAGTGCACTTGCAGGATTCTTGGTGTTTCTACAGCAACAGGTAAGACTTGTGGGCCTCATTGAAAAGTTATTCTAAAAAGAAATGTCTAAAGAGGTATTCACTTCAAATGTAAAGGGTATCTTAACCAATCTCTATTTAAAAAGGATATTAGAAATCTAAACACGCAGTACAGCAGTGCTTTTGGTAAGATCAAACTAGCTACAAAAAGCTTTTTTTTTCCTTTTTTTAAAGATTTATTCAACTTTAAGGATCTTGATAAAGGTAATTTTACCCTTATATCTGTTTTAAATTCTATGATGTTATAACCAGAAATATTCATATGGGATTTCATGAAACAAATCAACACAAAGTAGTATCTAATTGTTAATTGGAAGGAAAGTAATTTAAAAACAGAATAAAAACTGTTGCTTTTATATATATTTAGCACCTTTTCAGTCTGATACTCCTAGATACAATGGCCACCCTGTTAGTAGATAGACTCCACCTTCATGTAGTTTACTCTTGGTTTATATTGGCCATAGCTGGTCCCATAGAAGTCCTTCAAACATTAATTAATAAATAGCATCATGAAGCCCCAACATAAGGCAGAGAGTTCAGGAATAAAGCTGTTGAGAACTTTGACAAAGAATTAGGATATAAATAACTATATGAAAACCTTTGAACATCACTGAGAGCACTGTTTAATCAATAATCTGCAAAAAAAAAAGAAATAGTATTGCACATCCACTCTAAAAATTGTGGTGCGCTTTAACTGTACTCTGAACAGTATCTAGAATCACCTAGTAAATCAAACTTTTTCTTTTTTTTTTACGAGCATATAAGGACACATAATGTTTAAAGTTAAACATACAAACATAGCTTTGCAAAACGCTGTACTAAAGTAAAAGCTCTGATTTCAACAGAGGCCAAGTGATCCCATAGAGCACAAAGCCGTCTCACTGATAATATATTGTCCCGACATAAAAGCATACTTGATGGTAAGCTATCATTGCTCCTCCTCAGACACCGATTACCCACACCACATTAAATCTACATAGAAGGTAGAGTTCTCAGGTTCCTGCCTGCTTGACAAATATGGGACCCCTATTCTTGAATTCTGGCAACAGCAGACACTGAACACTTAACTTGGAGACATGTGCCTCAGCTATATGCCTCATATCCAGCTGGGTTATTGGGCTCTACTGAATGAGCAGTTGTACATTTATGCCAACAACATGGTTGTGTACATTGTTTTTTCTGTGTATGTTTATGCATGTTTATGGTTCACGTGTGCGTGTGCCTCTGTCTGAGCAGCTGCCTGTTCACGCGTCTTGAAGTCTGGGTCACCCTGTTGGCCTCTGTGTGTGTTCGCCGCAGACATTAATGCAAGGAGCGCACGTATGTTAATATCCAGCTGAGCTATAAGCTTCCTTAATTCCCCTCTCACTCTCCAACTACCAGAACACGTTTCAGTCAGGTTCCCACAACTTCCCTCCAGCAAAGATTGCATCTCTGGATTTTGAAGTACACAAGCCAGGAAAATTGCTTCCATGTGTTGAACAGCGATCACTCAGTTACCAAGCTTTTCTCTTTGGGAAAATAAAAGTTCTTAGGGGGTTTCTCTGTTTTCTAAAGTTTTTTTTAGTAGACATCGATTTGTAGTTGTGAATGAAGTGGATGCAAGAAAATTCAGAAGTTACACCTGTATATTTCTTTTCAGCAGAAAACAAAATGAAAAATTACATCATTTTTTAAAACACCAAAAACTGCATGCAGGATATCCTAAGGTAGTTTATAAAGTCTAATTATTATATTAAAATCATTAATGAGTCTGGAAAAAGTTTTAGGTGCCACTGGGCATGTTTAGCTCTTAGAATCAAGCCCTCTGGCAATAATCACAGCTTGTAAACATACTTTTGGGCCACAAAGGAATTTCTCACACATTCTTAGATGTTTTTTTCCTACATTTTTAAGCTGCAGACAGAAACTTCGATTCATTTTTGTTTCATTTTCCCAAATAGCGTTTTCTAAAAAATATCTATTTGCTCTGAGTCTACATAAATGCCTAACCTCAGGGATTAAATCAGACATTTTGGATCAACTGGATTATCAAAGTTATGTTTGTTGTAGAACACTAGATTAATGGGAGACAGTTCTTAATTTTTTCCCCCCAAAATTAATTTGGTTACATACACCAAGCTTCCTTTGAACAATTTGGAAAAGCTGTGGTTGTGACTTTGTCGTAAACTTTTAAATCTTCTGACTGTAGTTACATGGAGTGTGTCTATATTAAGGTAATGCATATATTGCACTCTTATAGTATTGTAAACCCAGTCAAAATACATCCATTCTGTATTGTGTGTGTTTTTCTGTAGGTGAGATCAGAACACCCCAAAAATTAGATGGCATCATGAAGACAGAAAGTCATGTGGAAATACTGAAGCACGATCTCAAGACATCACACTGGAAGTTAAAGCACAAACAACCACATTGTTTCTCAATAAAGTGCAAGCTTAGTGACTATGTGATTAATGTTAACATTCACAAAAAAATGATTTTAGACTCATAAAAAATGTGGCTGAGCCTAAAAGTTTGGGCAAAGAAATCAAATTTAGTTGTACCCATTCTTTCAGGGGTTTATAGGCCAAATATCGAGCAACTTATTGTTAAAAGCTTTCGGACGTACACCAAAAATGCTTAAATTAAGTCATGCATTTTAAAAATAGAAGCATACCAAGTAGTAAGGGGCTGTATTTAAATGTCTGAATTAGTAAAAAAAAAAAAAAAAAAAAAACGTTTTTAGAAGAGGTGTTAAAAAGATAATTTCTCATTATTACATTATATAAATTATCAGGTAGAAATATTAAGATTTTTTTCTAACTCACCTAAGAGGAAAAAAGGGGTCTCATTTAATGTCAGATAGTAGAAGAAAAAGGTAATCTTTAGATTTGTGGTTTCATACATATATTCAGATCTATTTTAAAAAACATATGTTGGGAAAAGTTTTTTTAAAGCAAACCATTAAGCTTGTCTTCCCTATTATTATTGATTTAAAGGTGCATTTTCTTAGCCTTCTTCTCAGTTTTATATAGTTCATTTTTGACCCTCAAACTCTGCAGAGGCCAATAAAAAATACATTTTTGGTCAAAATTATGACATTTTTGTAAAAGAAATAAATACTTTTGAGCATGCAACATCTGTTTCAGTGTATTAAAAATACTGGGGGGGGGGGGGGTCTGTTTATCCAGTTGATTTTATTATTTTCTCCTTACAAAGTTTAATCATCCAACAGTTTAATAGTCCAAATCTTTCTGAAAAATGTTTGTCCTCATTTTTTTGTCTTTCTTTAAAATCCAAGTTAACATCTGTGTTTTGAGTTAATATTTTACATATCTGCAGGAAAATTGACAATCCAACATCTGTAGAGCTCTACAAATCAAGATTTCATGAATCAGCATGCTTACAAACCTTTTTAATGTTCTGAGGCTTTTTCTAATCAAGATTGTACAAGCTGGTTAGAATCTCAGACATCTGGATGTTATTATGAGTACTCAAATCTCATTTAATGCACAAACCTTTGGCATGGGGCTATATTCCTTTTAGATGAAATGGTGCAAACTAGCTTGCTGACACTGAATCCGTCACAGACTCAAGTGAAGTCATTTGTTGACACCAGAACTATATGGTAATTCCAGGCATGAGTAGACTATTATGAAAGCTTTGTGACGATGAGAGAATAAATTAATATAATTGCAAAAATGACTTGTACTTAACATAATAGGTGACTTTGAGTTGGCTCTCTTTTGGGTATTTAAAAATAAAAACGTGTTTTTTGGCTAAGCTTAGTTTAGTTTGGTTATGCCACTGATGCATACACAAAACAAAACAAAAAAAACATGAGAGCCTCAAGAAAGGGTGCAAAAATTGCAAAATAAACAATGATGGAACATATTCCATGAAAGGTCAATAACAGAGAATTACATCGTTTTGTACCAAAGTGGGAATATTAAACATATTTGTCTTAGTTTGAGTAGTTTACCCTAATTTGCTACAGCATCCGGCTAATGCTGAACTAACTCTGACATCTGGTGGACAAAATCTGCTCATTACCCCAAAACCAAGCAGCTGAATCATTTTTTATTTTTTTTGTATTTTACAGTATTGTGTGCTGTGGGAGTAGAAACAGTCCACCAGGGAGAGTTCAACAGCCTGGGTATCTATCTGATGTAAGTTTCTTAAGCAATCCACAATTTTCCATAAAGCCCAATTCTGATTCAGTGCAACATATAACACATTAAAAGTGGTATGAGGGCTTTTAAAAAAAGCTACTGTAGTCTTTTCATAACCTCACATGCAGACTTGCAAAAGAGATGGGAAGGAGTCAAAAGGACAAGGGAGGGTGCAAAGGTTGCAGCAGTCATCCTCCTCTTTTTAATATCACTGTGTGTCGAAGCCGAACTCCCACAGGGCTTGAGGAAAATGTCTCTCCACGGACCAGATCTGTGTAATTTGTTTCTCCACATACAGCACAAACATAGATGCACACACATACACAAATAATTTTAAAGTGTTATTCATGTAGAAAATTTTAATAATGCAAAACCAATGTATTTATATGAATTTATTTATACATAAGGAATTATGGGTTTAATGGCATCTCCTCCCTGCATGCAGAACAGCAGCTGCTGGGATCATGATGTTTGAGTTGTCATACTTCTTGGATGCTCTACTGTCCATGTGTTTGCCGTGAGTACACAACCTTACATAAAATGGTCCTTTGCATCTTTTTTTTTTTTTTCAAAGCAGTAAAATATCCCATGCAGGCTGGAAATTACTGTAGCATATTTTTATAGGCTGAATAGTATAGAGAATGTCTAGAGTAACTCAACTGTTTTCACTAAGCATCCCTAAATTAAAGTGGTGGTGGTTATCATAGACTGAAATATATATATATATTTTTTTCTTTTCTTTTCCAGGCCAAAATCTGCCTTTGACAGTTTCTCAAACATTTTTATCTTCTCTCTTTTTGGTAAAGGTTGCTTTTAAGTTTGCCTCCACCAGGTGATCCATTGCTCCAATGTGGAAATAATACAGTATTTTTTGGAACAAGCAGTTCCCCTTTAAAGCAAAGGGTGGCAGTAGTGTACTTAGATTGAATGTCCTATTTTGACATTTTAATTGTTAGAATATAAACCATAAACCAACAAAAATAATACTGTAATTAATCATTCACAACAATATACTAATACTAAATATGAGAAATACAAAATGCTTGAATTAGTTAATTAGTCATTCAGATTAGTTTTTTGTGTTTAAGGGGTAGAAGGGAAAGTCGTGTATCTGCAGTCATATGGGAGAAGTTATACATTTATTTAGCATATATATAGACGTGTGTTTAGTTTAACAAGCGAGGGCTTCATGAAAAATCTGAGTTGTCTTTGGTGATTTTTTTTAAAATTCGGATGTTGTAATAATCATTTTGCCTTTGGTGTACTGTAGAGTGGTTAGTGTAGATTGATCCTGAACAGTCATAGATTTGGACTTCTGAAACAAGACGTGGTTTAATTAAGTGCATTCTAGTACCAAATTGGAAATCTGTCAGAATTTGCTAACTGCTGTGGTAAAAGGCCAAGCGGATTCATAAAATATTTATACCCATTTCAATACTACATCAAGTTTTACTTACAAGACTCTCACTTTGACTCAGGGTCACTTTGGGATTTCTGACTTTCAAAATTGTTATTTGTTGTTTGCCAACTTTTATTTCTTTTTGCACGTTTAAGCTGTTTTGAAACTTAAGGATAAACTGAATGCACCAAAAAAAAAAGATTATTTCTCCAGTATCATTCATGTTTGCTGTTGAGGTTGTTTTCTATTGTTCAGGTGACCACAAATTAAGTGTTTTTGCTCCATTTACATTTTGGCTCCAAGAAAATATCTTACGAGGGGCGTTCAATAAGTAATGCCCCTGACCCACTTCAAGATGTTTGATCGAACTGAAATTTTGCATGTGACGTTATTTAAATCTCTATAGATTAAGTAGCAAATTACAGCTCTGAACTATTTGTGGTTTCTGACTTACAGGTGTTTGAACTGAGTAAAGTCTGAAATGGAGCCTGTTGAGGGTTGAGCAGTGATCCGTTTTTTTTCTATTGGAAAGGACTCACACCACGTGAGACTTTTGATGAAATTACAGAAATTTATGGTGATGATGCCTGTTATATGACCTTGCAAAATGTTTTACAAGGTTATATTATTGGACATTGTCACTATAAGTTACTTTCATTTGATCAAAACTCTCACCTTTTGTGTGTCCTTTCAAATGCAAAAACTCAAACTTGACTCAGTTTTAACACCAGTAAATCAGAAACCACAATTAGTTCAGAGCTGCATTTGCTATTTAATTTATAGAGATTTAAAATACTTCAAATGCAAAATTTCAGCTCGATCAACTATCTTGAAGTGGGCCAGGGCATTACATTATTATTGAACGGCACTTGTACTACACCTCCACTAATTTATTTATATTATGATTATTATGTTATCTTAGGGTTTAGCCTGAATGGCCATTAGAATGTCAACCTGTTTCTCCCAGAAGATATTGCTGGTTCTAATTGAATGTAAGATGCCGTCTATTAATACTACTTCACCCAAACTCAGCTAAAAACAGCCTGACTATCCCTGAGGTATGCAAGTTAGATCATTATCTAACTAAAATATCCATGAGAGGCTAGAATTTCTTATCAAAGGAAAGTTGTCAAAACTTTGTTTTTGTTTAAAGTCTCTAGATGTCTTAGATTCTTCAGAAATAGCGCTAAAAGTGGAATTTCTTTAGCTCGCATTTGCCTGCTCCTGTTCTCATGCTCTCCCTTCAATTCCTCAGCTGTCCTCCACACTGGCAAGTATTTATCTTGTGGGGGAAGATGGCTCGTGTTGGAGGCTTCCATAAATTCCTCTATTACTCCATCATGTCAGTGGTCTGTTTTTTGCACCCTGTGTTGGTTTGGCACGCAATCATCCCAGGTATAAAATTTACTGTTTTAATTATTGAAAGTATTAACCTTCTTTGCATCTTTTCATATTATATTCCAACCAAAAACCCAAATGTCTTTTATCTCTTGAGGTTGTAGGTATCAGACCAACACAAATTAGAGGATAAATGTGAAACGGAATATAAAAAAAACATACATAGTGTTTGTAAAGGCACTGCAGTCATTTTCTCTCTTTCTAAGAGGATGTGCCAATTTACTAAAAAAAAGTCCATCCTTGACGATTGCCATCAATCCTTTTGATCCAGGGCAGGTTTTTTACTTATGTTGTGGCCCAGCTTTTGATGACACAAAAAAGTGGAAATCCACAAAGGCCACAGATGCACCATCGACTAATTTTACACAGGTAAAAGAAAAAATGTTGCAGGTAAACTCCTTAAGTTTTCATAGTTTATTTTCTCCTCAGGCAAGCAAACAAAAAAAGACAAACATTTCCTCCATGTTTCTCTTGTGCTGCTAAAAAAAACCATACGCCCACCCAGATGCATGCTGGTCCTACCATTGACTTCCTATTTATAAAAAAAAATTACCTAAATTAATTATAACTAACCAAAAACAAAAGAAACATGACTAAATAACCAAAAAACATAATCTCATAACAGATATCAAGCAATAAAATAAACTTAGCTAGATTATGCACAAAAACAAAAAAACATTTTTAATTATTAAAAACAAATAATTGGTTCCTACAGTGTTCAAGTGTTTTACTAGAACAAAACTGAAGGTACTGTGTCAATTTATATAAAGCCCCCTCAAACTTTTTATTTGTTGCAGTTACTACTGCTGATCTTTGGGGTACATTTCTCCCAGAATTTTAGACATTATGTTTTGCAAATTGTTGAAACTTAGTCAGATTTGATGTGATTTGATAAACATTGTTCAATCTGATTATGATTCTAACATGGCCCATCAGAAGTCTGTTTGATATTGTTTTAGTGTTATAATTTGAACCTCGTTCCCATCTCAGGTGTCTTATTACCTCTAAAAGTTTTTTTTGTTTTTCTGTTTTTTGTGGATTTAGGATGGTTGCTTATCTAAATATCACTTTTATCCGGGCCTGGCATATAAGCCTCAGGTTTCTAATTTGTTTTAGAACTTTTGAAAACATGTGCCACTCTCCTTTTATTTTATAAATATGCAATTCTGAACTTTATGTTGGTCTTTGACATGGAATAGCTACAATACATTAAAGAGTATGATTGTGATGTAACCTAATGTGGAAACATTTTAGAGGTTTTACACTTTCACAAGACATCTTATATTCTGTTTAGGAAAACATTAATAAAGGTATGTCGTTTTTGACTGCAGGATCAATGCTTCTGGTGACAGCCGTGTTCAACTTCATACTGAGTAAAAAAGCAAAGACCAAGTCTTCCAAGAGTCTACTAGAGAGCAACAGCGACCAAGGTGTAACAGCTGTCTGTGTGACAGAAAGATCTGGCTCCAACGTCACGTCTTCATTCCTCCAAGCAGTGACAGGAAGAAAGGGAGGGGAAATAGTTCTCGCAGACCCAGATCAGTGCCTTGATCCACACGACAGAGGAGCAAGTGTCCAGGCAATGCTGGAGCTGGAGCAGAGAGCAGCACCTGCATACACAGAAAGGAGGAGGACAAGGTGGTGGGGGAAAATTATCTGGTTTAGGGGAAGGGAGGAGCCTGTGGAGAGGGAGATGGAGGAGATCAATGAGGCTGAACCAGACACCACCTCAGACACTGCACCTATGATCACCGACTGACCTGCTGCTCCACATTGAAATCATGCTCCTATTTGCAAAGCGCAAAGCAGACTTATTAAAAAAGTGAAAAAGAATGTCTGATAAAAGTATATTTCTATTATTTGTTACTGTTGTGATCATATAACTAAAACTCACATTGTTATCTTTCATGATAACCAACATGTATATTTTGCAGACTTCAAAATTAAAAGTATATCTACCGAACTTAAAATAAAATGAAAACCTTTTGTTTACACACGAGCACATGGACACTGTTAGTCTGATTGCCTGTTTTTGTTAAGCAAGCATTGATTAAAGAGCAGATGTTAAGGTGGGTCAATGCTGTTACTGATGCATGCATTATTCATAAGATCATAAATAACATCAGCTGATTTCTTCATTCAGAGGAAAAGGGAAACATGCAGAAGTGTGTAAAAGGGGGGACCGACGTGTGCGGATGCATGTGTTACTCACATTCAAAGCCTCCTCATTGTGTGTTTGTCATGTGTGAGCCGTGACCATGGAGACGGAGCTCTGGGAGGGGAGCCCATGTTATTATGTTGATGAGAGAAATGAAAGATAAACCGTGCAACCACTTCCACAGGCCTGTGTCTAACCAGGTTTGGATTAATCACAGCTTATGCATGATGGCTATTACTGTGGATTAGACATCATAATGAAGCATCATAAATCATAATATTAGCATATTTGTGTGGGTTTAGGTGTTAAAATGTTAGCTTTCTTCTGGTTTCATTAAAGATGCATGTGCTCCTTTTGTTCAGGTTATAAATCAATAGTGCTGTTCTGTCAAAGAATGCAACCCAAACCTCCTGGCCATTTTTTTACTTTGCTCAAGGTAGATAACATGTAAGCCTTTAAACAGCCATCTCTCAGTAGAGAGAATCAATAGGAACAGAGCACCCCATCCTTCAAAAAAGCTCTTCACAAATATAACTAGTGTCAGACAAGTGAAAATGCACAGAAATAGCCTAACACTTGACCAACACAAACTGTATCCCCTGCAGCTACAACCCTTCATTGCTTTGTGTCTGAAAATGTGAACCAAGTCAGGCGAGATGAGATGTTCTGGTGCTTTATGGAAAAACACAGAGACTCTTTGTCCAAAGCACGCTAAATTCCCTCCCTGGCCCATATGCTGAGTTGTGTTACTATCTCCTCTTTGGTAATTTGTCAGCAATGTGACCCCATAGTAATTAAGCTTCATCCCATCAGCTTTCATAAGCACTCCACCATCTTCCCCTCCTTTTTTGTAGAGCTGTTCTCACATCGGGAAGTTGGTCAGCTGTTGGAACAACTCACTTCCTTTGTGCATGGTAAATCATAGCTCCCATTCAGACGCAGGGTTAAAGAAACTTCCTACAGTTCTTGTTTCCACCCTGTCACAGATCGCAGATCCAGACTCAAAAACAGGATGAGGAAAATAAATCTTCCCAGGCTGCAAAAATGTCTTCTTTTTCACTTCAGCTAGACAACATGAATATATTCTGGATGAGTTATATATATCTGACACATTTTTTCATTTTATATACTGGGAGTTGTGTTTTTTTTTCACTTAAGTATAAAGATTTTAATAAAGTGTAATATAAAATAGTTCTCAGTCAAATGTAGAACAGACACTTTTGGTGAGTGTAAATGTCCTTTCCATCAGTTAAAAAAATCATTGTAATTTTTATTTTGTCTATTAATTCAATTCACAAAAATAAAATCATATTACACCCAATTCAATATGCACAATAAGTGTTTAATTCTGATCATCACAATGAATATTGTTTAATTAAAGACTAGCTATTCAAATAATCACTAACTTTAATCTTTCCACTGACTGTGGAAACATTAAACTTGCTAAGCCTCTTCTCTCCTGCTCCAGAAAATGAGAACTTGTTTTTGACATAAAACTTTATTTATTTTTTTTTTTCTGTAGCTCATTCAAACTTTTGGCATTTCCTCTGCTTTAGTGAAACGAAATCGTACACTTATTGTCCAGTCCAAGATACATGTTTGTCAGGCAGTTTTTTTAAACACTGCTGTTTTCCTTCCACTGAACTTTCCAGTGATATCATTTGAATCATCCCTCAGTGGACAGCCAGCCTTTTTAGTATTAAAGGGTCTCAGTAACTGTGTACAAAACACATGTCAGGTTTTCTGCAAAATTATGTAGGAGATGACATAACCTTTGTACATAAAAATCATATACCTTATGTCATATTTGGGCTTAAAAAGCAAACAAGCTCATCTAGAAAATGAGGTCTTAATAGCTCCTTGAAAATATCTCTATATGTGTAATCAATCAATATAATATGAGATTCACTTTTTTCCAACGAAAGAAAAGACGCACCTTATCTATGGAATTTGAATCAAACTTATATATATATATATATATATATATATA